TCATACGATATACACGTTGAACGAAAACCATCTGAAGAAATGAAGTGCAATTGTGAGGACACCGGAGACAACAATATGGACTGGGATTTGAGCGTCAGATGGCGAGTGTCAAGAATAGGATAGCCGCAGATACAACGTAGAGAACGCGGAGTGGCAAGTTGTACGGGGTGTATAGCAACATGGAAGTCCAAGGAGACGAAAAAGGGAGGATCTAATGGAGGGGTCATAACATAGTGAATGGATGGGCCAACCGGGCAAACTAGAAAGGCAATAGGGAGGCCGATGTATCTGATTTACTTGCTGGAAATCAATTGGCCGACATTCATGTGAGTTAATCATTATTTGTTTAATTCTGTCATGGGGAGAACGTCATTGCCTCAGAAGCGTCGCTAGTTATGGACGTGAAAGAGTAACTTATGTCGAGAATGTTGGATTGACCAACCTGGTGTAATTGTCGCTGAGCTCTCTTTGCCGAATAAACGCTTGTCCTTGAAGCACTGTGTTCTGCATCCCCGCCGCTTTCATTAGATTTTCTATCAAGTAACAGTGTGAGTATCTAATGAGATTGTCTTCCTGGATGGTCACCATATCACACAATACCGTCGCTACGAGGCACTTCGTCTGTATACTTAGATATGAAGGAATGGCACAGCCCATCGCGCTTATATATAGGAATGCAGATTTTGACAAAATTGCACCCAGGTCGCGGTAGGAACCGCCTGGCTTACGTGAAGTCTGAGCGACTGATTTATTCCGACTTGGGTTTGTGTAGTGAAGGTAAGAATTTGTAAATGTATACATTTTCTAAATTACCTGTTCACGGCATTAGCTCCATGGTGGCACACTTGAACCGCTCTTGGTCAGCTGATTCTCCATCCCGACGAAAATATACTCTCTCGCTCTCGAATATTTTACTACACAGCTTTGATATATAAACTTCGGAATGATCCTGACAGAAAGAGACACCAGCATTGGTACCTCCGTCTCAGCAGCATACTTACTGAGGTGGATCGCTTACCTCACTTTCCTTCCGTCCTCACCCACATCTAGGATCTCATCAACCAGACCCTGCCAATACATGTCGTGACCATTGCGTGCTTAAGAATCTAACCCGGTGAACTGATTCACCTGAGAGATAACCAAATCTGAAGCAGATGAATTTTGAGCGCTGCACTTCCAGAGCGACTGCACTCCACTACGTGTTTTAGTCTTGGTTGATTTCAGTAGGTAGATAAGTGGTCTGGAACCCGGGACAATTGGGATGTTAGTTGGAACTTCTAAGCATTTGGCCTCCACGTCACGACGAACAACGTTTTGCACAATTGTTAAGGATTAATTTGAGTGTCATTTTTAGTACCCGTTTTGTGAGTGGATGTTGACGCGCAATCTCAAAGGGTATCTTGAATCGCATCGAAGCGAATCTTGACCAGGTCGATCATTAAAGCCGTGACTGAAGCGCATGGGAATTGGGAGTTACCCGCTCGAGAACATCGCACCCTACTACGCGTTTCAACCATCGAGTAGAGATAGCAGTCGCAGAAATCCGAGACCGTTGAAATGTTTACCCGAACTTCTACCTTGTCACTCACCGTGCCGTGAAGCGCAGCGTTTTTCTAAGTATTTACTTAGTGTTTGGTGGATTCATTTTGAAGCAATCGTTATAAGACTGAATTGTGATGCGCTATCTCAATGTGGACGCGGTTGGCATTGAAGTGTACCTTTGCCGATTCGACCGCTAGGAGCGTAAATAACGGGTCTTGTGAGAGAAAGATTTCGTCAAGCATTGATTAAGTTAAGTTGTTTTTGAGCTGAAATGGGCAGTTCCCTTCGATTCGTGGCTTCTTCGGTTGATGAGTTTTTCATTGCTCTTCACACGTTAGTTATTAATCACCTGGGTCATTGTAGTTAACAAAGCACAAATTTGGTAGACGATCAGTCACAGTTGTTGCTCTGCCTCCGGAGCAATCGAAGTGTGAGGTCCGGTTGTGGAGAACACATGGATCCGCAACAACCTCCTTAGACCCCTTTCTTCCCCAGTTTTGACTACATATGTTGCCCTGGAAATGCTACAAGGCACCTATTCTATGATATAACCGAAAGGGGAAATGATTGGAATTACCGGGTCACGGATTGTGTGATCTCCCTCGAATGGCAATTATGTCACTCTGATAATCACCTTCTTCACAATGTCAAGTAACATTTGCGCCTCCCTCTCGAAAACTATGCCACGCTTGTTATAACATGCCAGGCTTTATAGACCGTGTTCTCATTTGACTTAAGCTGTTGAAGGTTTTCCGCCGAAGATCATTTTCCTCTCTCTCTGGGTCACGAGTTACATTGCAACCTCAATTTTATTTTCGGTACAAGGAGAATGAACCGTTGGTCGACCAAATCGCTTGGGGAGCATCGATCCGAATTCGACTCGCCACCTGTCCTAACGAAAGACTCAGTGAGAGCCGAATCCTTGTTTCGACAAATGGCTCTGTAATCAAGGGAAATAGCGTCATGGCTTTTCAGCCGAATGATTCGATGACTGAAGTGCACTTCCAACAGAGTGGGGGTAAGTTTGCGTTACTATGTTACCATATAACTGGTTATATTTGAATGAAATCGTGTTGTACGGGATGCAAACGACGATATGAATTAGCGAAATATGAAAGCTGGAAGAGTGAGGGATGAACTCGAGGGCATTTGCGTTGTTTGCAATGCTTTTCGAAAAGTAATCACAGAAGATTGCTTCGCAATTTTGAAAAATGACTCAATTAGTGGAGTGTATTTTTACGGCAAAATTGATAAAGAGAGAAGACGAAGTTTGAGATACCTTGTCACGCAAACCACAGTAGACAAATTCAAAGTTACAACTGAGTCTGAGCGATACCGAAATTGCCACATAATAACTGTAATGCAACGACCAATCCACAAAGAAATAACCTTGACAATAACTACGGGGAACCAACCGGAAGTAGATAGTTGCAGAATCGGTTTACCAGCCAATTACTTGGGTTATAGGTTATTTATGCATATGCAGGTAGGTTGCTCGATGTCTACGCAAAAGATCAAAAACCGGAGTTTTCACAGTCTGCTGTTACTATCATTCACGTCGGTATACTAATAAAAAGATTGGTAAAAATACGGTTTACATAGCAACACGCGTGCAGTAATGTAAGTCGGTAGGAATCAGGGGAGCAAGCAGAGAACCAGCTTTGGAGCTAAAATGACTCTGGATTGAAAGTGTTTTAGCAGTCTTCTTGAACCAATTCACGACCAACAACGGATGTCAGCGGAAACGGAAATACCGGCCCTGTGATTCACCGAGACCATACCTGTCCGCAGTATCCTAAGACTTGAAAAGGCTGAATTTTGCTCGGATTGAGAAAATGGTAAGATACCGAGTGAGGAAACAATCCCTCGACAGGCAGTGCACTACATTGACATCAGTACGGTATTGAATTCCATCTGTGAAATTATTACCCTTTGCCACAAACCAAAACCTATATGATTCATGAATTTTCAACGGTTAAACACAAACTCTTAAATCCTCTTTATCAAAGGGCTGGCCGGTGTAGAATTTACATTATTTCCCATGAGAGATCAACGAGCCTCTATTTCTTGCAAGTTTCCTTTGGAGATCCACTAGTGCACATTAGAGTGCTCATTTAGATGCACTCTTCTTGTGAATGGATTGTGAAGCACAATTTTAATCTTCTTCACACACTGCCCCAGCGACCAAAATCGGCTGCATATCACAATCCATTCACACAGCAATCATTTCAAAATGACCCATCCAATCAGTCATTAACCGTTGGCGGTCGTGACCCGGTGGTTCAAGTGGTGGACGTCCCGGTCCACATTCTAATGGTCCCGGGTTCGACGCCGGCTATCTCCATTGGATGAGAACAAACAAGCTCGAGACGCGTTATGGTGTGCAGTGTTTTCGGACAGGAAACTCCCAATTTCCATCTGCTTCATCTACGGTCCTTGTAATCGAATAACCAATGTTCACTTCGATGTGAATCGCAGTCAACACGGAGACTGAACGTCACAATTCATCCACACAACCTGTACTTCAAAAATGACAACCTAGGTCAATCAGTACCCGTTGTGTCAAGTGTTGTCCGTCGTGACCTGGTGGATTAGGTGTAGCGGTCTCGACTTATATCCCAATAGTCCTGGGTTCGACGCCTGCTATCTCTATCTGATGAGATGAAATGGATTCGCAACGCGTCATAGGAGTGCAGTGTTTTCGGGCGGGCAGCAATGTATATCCATTCACCTACTTAGTGCCTTCCCTGGCCTGCATGTCCCTCAATCGCGTGATACAAGGCGCAATAACAGAGCAATATGCAGGTATTACTACTGCTGGAGATGTATACAGTAGGCAGCGGATTACGCATTGGTTGGAGCCAGTGATTATTACCTCGCACAGTAACTTGCAGAATATCAGCGGCTTCGGCGGAAATTTCCGCAATGCTACAGGCCATTGTTACTGTCAGCACAGGTATCCAACATCAATGAGGTGTGTACTGTGGGAATTGAAAACAAATGTCTGCGAACCTTAACCAACATAACATATGTAGCTGGCAAACATTTACGAGATATTAAGCAAGAATTAAACTGGAAAGACCATTGTACTTTGATTCGGTGTCTACGTGTACTTCACCTCGTGAAGTCACCAAAGTTGCTCCTAGCTCAAGCACATCTAAGCACGCATTTTCGGTGATAACTGACTCGCTCGATATCACATGTCAGTATTAACTATATGGTTTCTGGTACATTAGTGCCAATTTTTCACTAAGAGGAGTCACATGTCAGAGCAAATTTGCTCGTTGTCATGTTAGCCACATAACTTGTACTTTGCGATAGACGAAAGATGAACACATGTGATTATTTCGGACACTGAGTATGTAGATATGTCGTTTATCTGCCCGCCTACCTGATCGAACCGCATGTATATTTATAATCGGTGGACGCGAGACGGCTCAGAAGATAAGTGAGTGAAGTGAGTTGGTTCAACAAATCCATTTTTGCAGTAAGTGCCCTTAAGTTGTGATAAGTTCAACATGAGTCTCACATAAGCGCTCTGACCGCTTTTGGTCATCAATGATACGATGAAATTGAACTAACTTAGATTGATGTCTCTAGATGCATTGAGATGCTAACCACGTAGGTTATCTTAATTTGCAGGACACAACAAGCCATCAGCATCTAAACTTCTGGTGATGAACAAGCTCAAGGAGTGGGCCTCTAGTGGTGAAGATCGTAACCCGAGCGATGAGACAATAAGGACAACCGAAAGACATGGTGATTACGAACATGACTTTGGTAGACGTGACGACTCTCAACATGGCCACCGTCAAAGTGGCGACGATCAAATGGGACGCGATCGGCGCATGGGTGACAGAGACAGCGATCATGGGCGTGACAGAGGACGTCAACCTATGCATTCCCAAAGTGATGAGAAAGGAGTTGGAGATCGGCATGGCGGTCATCACATGGGTGCCGATGAATTTGGCAGTGAACAGCAGCATGGAGGCCGTGAAACCGGCACTCGTCCTTCAGGCGGTGGGCAATGCGGTGAACGATCACATAGCACCCAGGAAGGTAGGATGGGCAGGGATGAAGGCGGCGACAGAAAGTTTGACATGAGTGGTGACCGTGGTAGCCAGATGGCCGGCAATCAATTCCCATGAAGCGTGGGACCAGTTGATGAACTCGCTTTTGGATTGTTTCATTATTGGAATTATCAAATGTTGTGTTGCGGTGATGATTTATCTAAAAGAACTGAACTACTTCCATTTCTACCTTGTTACAGCCTAGTTTACACCTAATTTTCGTGCGATGGTTTTGTTTAACATCCACTGTGTGTACGACATGGGTCCAACACACGGCGATTACCTGTAGTTACAAAAACATACTTTTTCGTTTGTAACGAAATTATTTACGAAATAGAACGTCTACTTCTGACAGTCAAAAGTAATGGAGCTAAATAGCCGCATTGGATTCCGTTCGTTACATAAAATCAGCCACCATGTTCCCAAAAACGCAAGACTAGTTTCCGTCTGCATCCGATGTCACCTGTAGAACGGATCAGAAGTATCTACACAGCGCTAAAGCAATTGAGCGGACGAGTTTAGTTCATAACAATGTCCTCAGTCGCCAACAACCTCGTGGCACATTGCGACAAACCAATCTTTATTGGTAAAGCGTACCGATTTTGAAAAGAAACCTAGTTCTGACAATGCCTTTGCTTGTGTTAAAGAATGAGCAAAATGTCAGTATGATAATTGTTTGCGTACGAAGACATATACGCCGATTTATCCAACAAACCCCTTATTTTCTTTCAAGCTATGGTTATAAAGTGAAGGGAAACAAACCAAACAGAACCGGTAGTAAAGGTGACGAGCAGATGTGAGTGGCACGCCTACGGTCACAGAGACGTCCTATCCCATAGAAAAGTCAAGGGAGTGCTCTAACAGAAAACTGTATGCACGTCATGCAAGCTGAAATACTGTCAGTGTATAGTGCTGATTAGTAAGTTTACGCATGTGTTGGGCATTAGTATAAAAGTTCTCCGCTACACAACTACAACATGGCAACATTGGTGAAGTGGCCAGAGGGATAACGTGGAATAGTGTTTGCGGCTATTGGTTTCCTCATGAAACTTCTAGATCGAGTGTCGGGGACCAGTAGAACTAGCCAGTACTTACGGACTATGTAGAACACAGCTGCACAAATATCATACGGCTCTTACTTGCTTGTTATCTTACCGAATAGAGTTCATGGAGTTGTATAGATGGTTTGTGCGTTTACCATTTCAAGAATCTCTTAGGATGGATAGCATACGATTTACAAGTTCAAAATTTTGAGCCGTTACTTAGCAAGTCTATCAATGGACGCAACTTACTATTAGCATAGCCACGAAGGTAAACCCGCCCACAATGACTTAGTTGTGCTCACAATATTTGTTTCTGTCGTTCCGTTTCCCGATGAGTCATGGTTGTAACTAGTGTCGTTAATGAGTTTTCCTGAAACGTGCAGACATTGAGTTAAACTGTACAGTCAGAAGGTGTAAGTTGTGGTAAAACCGTTCAAATGAATTTATTCAACAACAGCACATCAAACGGCATATTAGGATAGGTAGATTTCATTAGCACACTAAAGCAAAATGTCAGTACAATGGGTTCCTTTGCAGCCTAAAATAATCGGTAACTATCGCTCGACACTTTATAAATGCTTTGCTTCTTGAACGGTGCTATGGTATTCCAGTTTACGGGCTGCAACTGTCATACATTTTAGTGTCCGATATGAAGACCAAGACATCGACGAATGTCGGAGAACCCGCCATGAATTCTGCGGGTGGCTCATGCATGATAGTTATGTTTGTATGGAAACCGACATTGCACTTCTTGGGCTTTCTCGATTCAGTCCTGTATCCTTGAAGCACGGACTTGCACTTGCACTTACACATAAAATATCCCAGGTGGCTATCGGAGTTCATTTGTCAGGTTACTATTTATCCACCCGTGTGGGTGCACTTTCACGATTTTCACACCACGACTACGGATTATTAAAAACAAATCATCACTGAGAAGTAAATAATAGCAGTAAACGAAAATTTCCATCTTCAGTCAAGCATGCGGTCAAGAAAGCATCGTTTCACTTTTCTTGGATCTATCAGTTAGCGGGATGAAAAAGGCAGAATGGAGTTTCTAAATGACGAGATATGAGAATATACAACATTAAATTTTGTCCGTGTGGACGAAGTAGCAATACTGCTGGCTAGAATAGCCTATAATGGGTGAGAGGTGGTCATGTATAATCTCAGATGAAAGTTTGATGCATGCATCAAAAAATTATTTAGCAATGAAATATAGTGCATCCCTTTCGTTAAACCGCAACAACGAGAAATAAATTTTAGTGAACGGAGAATTAGGACATAATCTTTCTGATGCAGTCCTGTGAAAATAATCAGGAAACAGTATAACCAGTGAAGAATACATACAGTTACAACCGTAGAATTAAAGCTCGTGGAACAGAAAGCATTTTAAGTCTGAGAGCATAAAAAAAGAATCTGTTAACCTTTTTCAATGTTTCAAGAACATGTGTAGACCAAGATAAAGTGTGAGATAGAAAAACTCCTAGACTTTTTACGGTAGAGAAACGAGGTGCGTTTTGGTCATCCACAATCGCGGGAGGAGACATAGGTACAAGGAAATGCAGTCTGTTTGGATGTAGAAATTAGTACGTCACGTCACAATACTTGGAAGGGTTGAGAGAGCAAGCGACCGGAAACTGGATCAATTCACTAGTTCGCCTAGCCGCCATTGGAATTTCAAAGAGTCCTCGATGATTGGGGCTATGCATCTCGGGACGACGCCATCAGAATATTTACAGCCTACGAAATTGGGTGGAATAGGGAGACTTTCAACGTAAACAGTGAATAGAAAGTGGGACAGGATGGCTCCCTGCATAACACCACAATTGGTTGGGAGTACAGAAGACGTTTTGCTGCGCAGCTGCGTGAAGTGTGAGCGAGTTATGAACTAATCACGTATCACACTACGCAAAGGTTGAGGAACGCCGTTCTCAAACAAACTGTTTAGCAGTAGTGATCTATCCATACTCCCAAAAGCGTTGGTATAATCAAGAAATAGGAGCCGTACGCTTTCGCATTTATTATGCAACGCTAACGCGGTGGAAGACACCAAATAAGAAACGACATCTAGTGTAGTGCACCCTGTTTCACGGGCAAAAGTTTGGATATCATCAGTATGATTGCCTGTGAAAATACGGAGAATCAGCAGTTTTTCCAGTACGTTTAGCAGCACGGTTGTGCACGCGATTGGCCAACATTTTCGAGATTCGTTTTTAGGCACTCAATTATTCTGCTTCATTTCCAACTCGGGAAACGTACTAGTCGTCAAGCGCCGATCCCGGTCAGAACAGTTGCGCACTCTTTTAGAGCGACTGTTGATAGAGTATCCGATCGGCTAGTCTTGTTTGCTTTAAACCTTTTAAGCTTCTTGTAAATACTTGAAGAAGCAAATAAAGTAGGATTCTCAGTAGTGGTGAAAGAAGGCAGGGTGTGTGTGTTAGGTCTTGAGGAGCTGAACTCAGCGTTAAATTTATCTACATCCTCGTTGATGAGTGTTCTGAAAGAATTCTTTCCAGAGAGTTCTCCTAGAAGCCTTCATAGGTCACGGCAGCTGTGGTTGCCTAAAACGGTCTGAATGTAAAGAGCGTTTTCCCTTTTTATTTATGCTCTTATAGCTATGGTCAGACGTTTAACATGGGCAGTTAGCCTATATTTATAAGCGCGTTCTTTTTTCCTTTTCAGTTGTTTGAATTATGAAGAGGAAAATGTGTCATTTCGTCAATAAATTGTCTCAATGGTACAAGATAGAACAAAACAGTTAATGGAGTTTGTGTAGTGTTGACAGATTCCTAGTGTTTTGATGTTATCACCTTGATTGTTTGCTCAGATTGACAGCCAATGGCTGCTAGGGTCCACAAAGGTAACAACCCAATCACAGCCTTGTCCATAGCTGACACAGATGTTCCCTCTAATCTCACAATAATGAGGTTCGACTAAAAGTCAGGGGCCAGGACTCTGAAGCGGTGGTGGACCACAAACATTTATCACCGGCTCTATTATAGCGGCTGAGGAATCGGCTCCCTCTAACAGGCTTGCCGTGTCCGGGTAACTACTGGCACGGCAGTTACGGAACAAAGTTTATATCTGGGTGTACAATAGTCCCGTGTATTGGATAAAATTACGACACCTTTACGATGCGTGACTGCTAAGGATGTTTGGGCATCGCGCAAGGCAGCGACATGGTGAATCCAACTGCGGTGCCGTGTGCATGGGTGTCGTTCATGGATCAGACAAACAGCTTCCAATAACAGCTCAACGTATTGCTATTGAAATTTAGTAATGAGGTGTATTGCTCATAGTACCAAGAAACCGAACCCACAAAGTGACGGATCTTATTTACGTTGCAACATTCTCAGACATGCGAGGCTGTCAATTGTTGGGGTGCTTACAGGGTTAAATAGAGGTGCTTTTGCGAATATTTTCATTTGGGACTTCCGTCGCCGTTGTTACCAGTTCGCGGACATTCTCATTTTCTTGTTTTCGGTGCAGGTTGGTTGTGCCATGAAGGCGGCGGTTGGATGGATGAAACGGATGCAACAGTTGGATTCAGAAATTAAACTCAGATGAGTAATACGCTATCTTACTTAATAGACTTCAGAAATACAGTTGGAGCACTTTATGAGTAGCCAGTTAGAGAGTTGCGAAAACCAGAAAAAGACTATCTAAATGTAACTCCAGCGGATCATCATACTCACGTTGCTTTATCAGAAGAATGTAGGCAGTATTCATATCGTACGGTGTTAAGGCATACGGTAGGGTTTAGACATTCCTTGGTCTAATTATGGAGTTGAACTGAGCAAGTTGTGTTTCGGGCTGCCAGATGATTAAGATGCTGAGTGAGCTCATTTGCGTTCCTTTCAGCCTTCACCAGTAGGTGGGTATCTACGGCGTGCGTGACTGTGCGCGGAAAACGTAATTTTGAAAAGGGAAAAATAAACGGTTAAGTAGACAAAGAAATAACCGCTTATTCCCTGTAAAATCCGGATTTATTCAGTGCATCGTATTGTTGCCGAAGATGCCAATGACAGGGTGATAAGTAAATTGTGCAATAGTTAACCGATTTTTGGTCTAGAGATATAGAGGAAATGCATCAGAACTAAGAGCGAGTCTATAGTCTAAAGAGTAAGTTAATGGGAATATCGGTACGACAGTAGGAAGGTAAAGATGAAATAACGAGGGACCAGAAGCACAACAGGTTCACTGCAGAATGAAGTAGGATAAGAAAGAAAAAGTGAAGTAATACGGTCATTCGTGGAACCGTCTCCCGGGTACCTGCTTCCATGCCGGGTGGTCCCTGGAGAGGTTTCACCC